GACCCTCCAGGGACACGGCAGCTGAAACTTTGACTTATCCATTTAAACAGAGTTTCTGCGGGTGTCCTCTGGTAGCCCCTCCGAGGAAATGCTTTTTCATTCTGGAACACACCGTTCTTGGAGTTCAAATCAATAATTCTGAGATTTTCATAGATATGAGGTTCAAAATCATTTTATTCCTTCTATTGAGAATAAGCAGCAGGATGAATGATTTCCAAGATGAAATTATCTCTCTGTGCTTCTAAACCTATTCGGGATTTGTATTCTGGATAGATGTCTCTAAAGTAACTGTAATGTTTATCGTTAATTCATACAGGATAAGTAATGTTGGTAAAAATTTCAGAGATGGACTGTGCCCAGGGGCACTGCAAATATTATATCACTTTTAGATATTTTAAAGTGTCTCCCCTCCACTTTTTTGGGAGATAATGATTACATTTTAAGAGCTTTGCTGCTGTGCCAAGAAAGAAATGGCTGCAATTTAGAAGACTTTTAGACCAAGCAGAAGCCTCTGTGTAAGTGTAACTTACCAGCTATTTAGCAAGGACAAACCAGACAAACGTTAATTCACCTAATTAATATTCATGAGCCAAGCTGATAAGGGTTATAATGAGTCCTCCCACATTTCACATTATTCCTAAACCCCTCTTAAAAATAAAGGTGCTTCAAAAGGTTCTTCACAGCGATGCCATAGAAGAACCATTTTTGGTTCCACAAAGAACCATTCAGTCAAAGGTTCTTTAAAGAACCACATCTTTCTTACCTTTTTATGATCTGAAGAACCTTTTATCACCACAAATAACCTTTTGTGAAACAGAAAGGTTCTTCAGATGTTAAAGGTTCTTTATGGAACCATTTAGACAAAAAGGTTCTTCTATGGCATCGTGAAGCACCTTTCTTTTTAAGAGTGGTGTGCTTTGTGCCTTGCCGTCACACATAACTGACCTATCACAAAATGCATATCTCTGTGCTAACTAATTATGCAGGACATGTTAAACATGAGCATATTTTTCAGGTTAACTGGCAAAAACCATTCAAATTTCAGATAAAATGTAGCCAAACAGTAATTGTATATTGCACTCATAAATTTAAAATATGGGCAATTTTGCAAATATTCTTGTTCTTAATCTATTTTTATTTTGTTAGGAAAAACCAATTCAAAATGCTGAAATTTCCCTCCATCACTTTCAATCATAAAATGACATGCTTGTGTAATCTTTGCACTTTGCTAACCAACAAAAATGCATTTCTTTCTATCTCTTTCACACGGGTAACAGATGTCAAATGCATTAAGGAACAATATGAAGTTAATTTTAAAAGTTTTTCCTAATTCTCTTAAAGGGTTTTAGTTCTAAGGTTGAAACATCATTTCAAAAATTAAAAGACTATCATTTTTACTGGAACATGAATGTGCAGTTTATAAACAAATCCCCATGGCTACTTTGTCATTTTAACCATGCAGAATTGCCTTGTGATTTACACATGCACAGCTACAAGCATTCATGCGATTTGAAGAAATAACTCAAGAAACTCAAACGGGGCTCTAGACTTCTCGTAAAGCAAGCAATTGGCTGAACAGAGCTTTCCAAGGCGGCACACACTGCTTGCAGACCAGGAGCAAAGTGTTGGAACATGCAAATAACTCTCTGAGGATTGCTCATTTGCTTGCTTCTTACTGGGATTACAGCCCATGCACAAGGCCGTATCTAGGCCACAACTGACAGGCCCACGTCTGCCTATTATGCTCCTGTGGTGTGGCCATGTTGAGTAATTGCTGGGTTTCTGGTCAACGCTTCAAGAAACATATGTTCCACTCCACACTGTGAGACTCCTTGCAGTCTCCAGCCATGTATAACGTGTCTCTTTTGACAAAGGGTCTTGGAGGAATCCACAGTGACCTACAGCTGAAATTATAGGAAATAATTCGAAATAATTGGTGTCTTTTTCAAGCCAACATATTTCAAAGCTTCAAAAACGTCAGTACTTCCACAATAGCCCCTTCTCTGTTTACGTCCTGGAGCCTGGAGTTAAATCCAATTAAGCCGGGTAATTCTTGGCAGAGACGCTGGACAAGTTTAAAAAGTTTTCTAGTAATTTTGCAAAACTGCTGTGTTTTGTTGTCCTTCCTTTCATTTCTGGCCTTGGCTAATGAACCCAGACTCAGACCCTCCCTAAAACAGATACAATTCTGCACTTTCCTCTCCCTGTCTAAAGACAAAAGACATGACCAATCATCATCCCTGTAAAAGTGTCTCTGTGGGACAATAACGGCGCAGGGGTCTACAGCAGGGCGCTTTCATGCTGATTATGAAAAGTGAGCTGTAAATATTTTAAATTCTCAGCATCCCTAGTACTGTATTCAACCTTTCAGCTTCATAAGGTCACAGCTAATTTGCAAGCCATAAAAACACATTTGGCCAATTTAACAGGGACGGGAGACGCACTGATGGCATCGTCTGGGTCCTGTGTTTCTTTGAGGAAGAGTTATTATTTCCATTAAGCCCGGCAGAACGATGAGGCCAGAAATTTGTCTTTGGTACGCCCCCCATTGATCGTGGGCAGGAGAATGAGCTGCTAATGCATTTAGAGAAATAAGATCTGTTAACACCGCAGACGTTGAGCATTACAAGCTTGGAGAGAAATCCTTTTCGACTGAGGGAATATGTGCGGTATTTCTTCACAAGTTGCTGATTTCATTCTGGTTTTAAAGGATAATTTCAGCATAACCTGGCATAAAACTGGGATATCTTCAAGAATAGGAACATACTGATGCCGGATAAACTTTAATCTTGTATCAAAGACCACAAAATCCCATGTTTAGTCCAAGTTATCCTCAAATTTAACCAAGTAAGCCACTTTGAAGAATGGAACCGTGAGGATACCATGCACACAAGCACAGCCTTTTTGTTTTAGTTTACAAACTTAACTCAAAGTTGCACCAACAGGGCTGCACCCCTCACAAGTAGCACGAAAATAGGTAGACATTCAAACAACCTTATGGAGAGTCCATGGGGAGTGCGAAAATTTTTAAATACACCTTATAAATCGCACTGTTTATATTTAGCTGAAGCATTCATAAACAAGAAACAAAACCGACCCTGATACTCCGGAGACTGGACGATCACTGCAAGGATGTAAAGAACACTTATGTTACATGGTACAGATATGCCTACAGGCTTGGTGTTTAGGTATTAACTGATGGAGACTGTTGTTCAGGGTCTGAACTTCAGACCCTCTCAAGATGCACAAACTCCAGGACAGAGGATAGTGAAGGTGAACAAAGTCGAATCTAACACAGATTGTCATTTGCCAGTCCCCAAAACTTGTTCCAAACCCATATGCTGTTTGACGTTATGATATGATATATGCAAGAACCAGTGGTTTTTCGCATGACTGAGGTGACTGAGATGAAACCTGGCTTGGATGCACAGTTTTTTGAGTCAAAACTTTTAAGAGCTTCAACGGAGGGGAAATTATTTAAAGGGGTCATATGATGCTGCTAAAAAGAACATTATTTTGTGTATTTGGTGTAATGAAATGTGTTTATGCGGTTTAAGGTAAAAAAAAAAAACATTATTTTCCACATACTGTACATTATTGTTTCTCCTCTATGCCCCGCCTTTCTGAAACGTGTCGATTTTAACAAAGCTCTTCGTTCTAAAAAAGTGAGGTGTGCTGTGGTTGGCCAGTTATCCAGTGCGTTGTGATTGGCCGAATACCTCAAGCGTGTGACGGAAATGTTACGCCCCTTACCATACTGTGATGATGCCCTGTCAGGCCGGAGCGATGATTCAAAAACACGAAAACCCATTATAAACGAGGCATTCGTTGCATCCAGTGGGGACATAATTATGGATTATAATGACTTATACTGTCTTTTAACACGTTTTAAATATAAAAAACGTACTTACAGTCTTTGAGGAGGAACAGCCGGCATTGTAGTCTACTCTCCCAGGATCAGGAAACGGTACACCATAAAATGTGCTGCACACATCTGAATATTTGGGTTGAAGTTCTCATAGTGATGTGGTGGCATGTTAGAACGAGCTGTTTTAGGTAGGCGTGGCTGACTCTTAACTTTTATAAAGAATATCTCTTTGGATTTGAGACTTTATTCTTTGCAACTTTACAGATCTTCTTTATGCACCAAGAGCTTGTAACACTCCAAAGAGAAAGGAAAAATTGAAATCGCATCATATGACCCCTTTAAAAAATGAAAACAAAAAAACAAAGATGATTAGAGTATGTTTTACAAGAAAATACTATTTTAGTTCATTTCACATTTAATTACATGCCATTTCTTTGTATTTGTGAAACTTAGTAGCAATTGTGAAAATTGTTTCTACACTTTTTTTTTCTTCAGTGTACAAAACTTACTCTTAAATTATCTTTTTGTGTTCCACGGAACAAAAAAAATTGTGGCATACAGGATTGAAACGGAAAAAAAACAAAATTTTTTTTGTTGATTCATTCCTTTAATACGGAGCCCCGCACATGCCATGCAAGAAAAAAAAAATCGTACGCATAATTTACTAACTCGTTCCCTCGATGTACTAAAACGTGCACACGATTACTATTTCGTTCCCTCGATTTGCTAATTCGTGCGCACAATTTACTAATGTGTTCTCTCGATTTATAAATCGTGTGCATGATTTAGCCTACAATTTTTTTCCTGCATGCCATGTCTGGGGCTCCGTACTTTAATAAGATGGGTTGATGGAAGATAAAGACACAGCAAGGGCTCAATCTGTCACATTTGAGATGCTAGAAATCATAGTTAGAACAAGTGGATGGTGGAAGGAAGAGATAGGAACTAAACGAGGACAAGCAAAGGTGCAGAGTGACTGTTGGGTACAAAAATACTCCAGATGTCCTTGGAGCTGCAGACTTCAGTCAGAGGAAACTCGCTTGGGGAAAAGAAAGAAATATCGGGATGGAGAGGGAGGTATGTGAGGGAGACGAGGAGGAAAAGGAGGAAGGGCAGTGGGGTTGTACAGTACCTCTGTTACCGGTGACAGCAGAATTGAGATGCTTGGAGTCTAAAGGACCTGTACTGTCTGGGAGGGTGGGTGCAGGGGAAGTTGTGGATGGTGACGATGTGGTGGGGGCATCTGTTGTACGTGACAAACAACAATGACAACAAACATGTAAACAAAAAAAGGACGGATAAAAGACAAAACAACAATGACAAGGGGAAGAAAACATTCCTATAACAATGGAACAAATGAAACACAATAGTTGTCATGCTGACAGAATGCAAATAAAAACTGAATGGGTTTAATTTAACAATGCACACATGCACAGGACACCTAACATTCCAGAAATGTATGTCTTTCTTTATGATGTTTATGGATAATGGGTTTGGTTTGTATATACATGTATATCAAACATGGCAAAGTGACAGTTTTGCTCACAAAATGCTAGGAAAAAACAAGCCGCATGCAGGGAGAAAAGCATCAATATTTGATGAACTATCAAAAGTGGTCTGTACAGCTGACATGCTGGACAAAATGTGAAGAACAATAACCATAACACGCCTTTTGTTCCTGATAATGTATCTTTATATCAGGGCAGTTTGGAGCTTAGTATTAGTGCATCTTTAAAAATGTAAAAGAGCAGATGCTACTCAGCTGGAGTTTTCCTGTAAAAGTAAAGCTTTTTTTAACAATAGGTCAAGAGACTTATACCCAGTTTACACCTGCCATTAACATGCTTTTATTTTTTTTTATGGTACACTCTTAAAAATAAAGGTGCTTCACGATGCCATAGAAGAACCTTTTTGTCTAAATGGTTCCATGAAGAACCTTTAACATCTGAAGAACCTTTCTGTTTCACAAAAGGTTCTTTGTGGCGAAAGAAGGTTCTTCAGATTACAAAAAGGTAAGAAAGAGACTTTAAAGAACCTTTGACTGAACGGTTTCTTTGTGGAACCAAAAATGGTTCCCTTTCAGTCGGTCACTCTCGACGTCACGTCGTAGGACCGACGCGGGACCGTAGCAATGCCTGTATCGGATCCAGAAATAATGGCTTTGCTTTCCCGGGCCGCCGTAGGGGTAGGATTTTCTCCGTGTCCCGAGCCCTCAAGGTTGCACGATTGGTTCTCGGGGTGGTCCGCGCTGGTTCTCAGCGCCCCGGCTCAGTGCCTTTCTTCCCGGAGGTGCATGAGGAGCTCAACAGGTCGTGGACGGCACCTTATAGCTTTACACCTGTAACAGTAGCCAACTTTTACTAGATGGGTGAAATTAATTTAGGATAGTCTGGGCGCCAGACCAGATCAAAACTGGTCAAAATGGTGAAAAATACTCCACGGATAGCTTAAATGCCAATTGTTACACAATAAAGGAAATGTAAAAAAAAGTTTTGTTTTAAAATGTATTTATTATAAATTTTCGCTTGTATCAGGTCTCCAGTGTGATTGGATTGTACTTGATTATTACAAAGAGCATGACAGAAAATTGTAGCGGATACTGATTATTTATTGTTCAACCTGTATGTTAAATATTCCATAAATTTATGTGGATAATGAAAAAAAGATTAACAAAACAGCATTAACCCCTTTGTTGAATGTATGTCAGGATCTATCTCTGATCCCTGAACCACTGAAGATTTCGGTGTAAAGGGGGCCAAGCTAAAATGTTCTTACACAAAAGCAAAGTTCACACTAATCTATTTTAATCTCATACAATTTCAAGGTGCAGTTTAAATTGAGTGATTTATGCTTTTAAAAACAGCAGGTATTATTCAAGCCTCTTGAAATCGATTTTGGTTCGACAATCAGTGTAATGCTGGCAGCCCTTATCATTGCACTAAACATGCTCTATGCATGCAAAGGACACAAGAGCAGAGTTGGGCTCAAGTTGATAAGTTAAATCACCAGTCTGCCTTCGTACTAATGGACTCAAGCAGACAAGCAGAGTAATCCAACTGATAGCTCAAAATTGCACAGCAGCTACCAGCTCTGGCTAACTAGAAATTTGACAGACCACAGGTTCCAGGAGCCGACATTCATAAACAGCAGCTCGCGACTAGATTTTATTAATCCTCAGAGGAAAATATGAGTGGTGCCAGACCATACAAAACTCAGGGCATTGTGTTTTTTTAGTGTGTTTTGTTTGCGGATTGGCTTTGTTTCAAGCGGTTTTACTGTCCAATCACTTAGAAAAGTAATAGCAAATCATATTATTTGATGTATCGTTCACATTTGTAGCACAAACAATGCAGGATGAATTACACATAGTTTAATACTTGTAGTATTAAAAAGGGTTTGTTGATATTCCTAGGGTTATGAATATCAACAAAGGCATAGCTCTGAGTAACAGCAATAGTACTATTGTTTGCCTAATCAAACACCACTAATGATGGCTGGAGCCTTGGGAGTTTTTGAAAAGGATAAAACTGGGAGTATTTTTGGTATCCAAAGTACATTATTTATAACGCATTTAGTATTAAATGAAAGCTGAAAGCTATTTAGGACATAACAGAAGACTCCTGCCCAGGGATATGAAGAAACACTTCAACCAAACAGAAAAATGCGCAAAGATATTATTCAAGTCATTCCTGTGCAAAATCACTTGCTCTTGTGAAATTATCAGCTATGTACATGTTAACATATACATACAATAGTTGATCATTTAAAAAGTTGAAATTTAAATGATGTCTTTGCAGATGGCAGGGTTGCAAGCATTTATCTGTATGGTGGAAGAGATTGAGTAATGTTTTGTAACCAAAAAATAAATAAATAAATAAATACAATTCTATACTAGATTAATATGCAGAGACTACAAGCCATTCATTGGCTGATTTCTCCAAAAGTATAAACATATATTTTTTTCGTTTGATCATCCGGCCAGCCCAGCATAGCAACACTAACTCAACCAACAGAGTGAGCTGTTTGGAAAACTTTTAAAAACATTCATTATTTTTCTGTTTGATGAAATGGTGTTGCAGAAAATCACAGTTAAAACCCCTAACTATATAACAGAAATTGTGATCATTTTAAAAGTGTAGATTATGGAACTAGCAGATCATGAAATTTTGGTTCTTGTTTTTTATTTTAATATTTTTTTTTTAGTTGGGGGGATATAGAGATTTATTAAAGTGTTCAAACCTGTTCAAACAGCCTAGATACTATTGGCCTGCTCTAATATCGTATTTAAATGTCATGGCCCAATTTTAATTAAGGGTGAGATTTGAATAATAATATTGACTATACTTCTCACTCAAGTACCGCACTGACATGGCAGCCCTCTGCCTAGAATATAAAGCGATCGGCTGCATGTTGAACAGGTGATATTGCGTTTTCAATTGGCACAATACAAGGTAGGTGATCTGATGAAGGACAGTGACCATTATATTTCTCCAGGTTTTGTGCTAATCACTGTTGGAAGCACGGCATCATGTTTTGCCATTTAAAAAGACAGTAATGAATTCAGACATGGTGCTTTATATTTGTGACACCCAATTAGGTTTTTATTCCTACAGAGAAGGTGTCAGTTTTATAGTATCAACATCATTAAGAGCTTTGGTTCTCCTTGTTGTTATAGTGTCCTGACATTTCAATGAACCACTGGCTGGACCCCTACACTGCACCATAACTGCTAATTAAATCTTCTTAAGACGCCCTGTGGGATGATACAAAAGCCGAGATAGAAGGACAAAGTGTGAAAAAGAAACTTCTCGAACTGAGAGGTAGAGGAAGATTTTTTCAGCCTGGAGGGGTTTAGTGTCAAGAAGGCAAAGGCACAAGCGGGGGGGGGGGGGCT